CGAAGCCCCCACAAGCCACCCCCCACTTCACCCAGTTTCCCAGGGATGGCCCAGGGGAGTCGCGTTTCTTACTCGTCGACCCCAATTCCCTCTCGCTCTGTTGAGTTGAGCTGTGGTCTGGACCATGATGACCTCCCAGAATTCCTTCCGCCATGTCTGAATGCTGGCAGAGCGGCCTCCGTGTCTCCCTTGTCTCGCCCGCACCCCCAGCCCTGTCCTTCCGGCCCTCGTCACCCAGTGTGGGTGTTGCGCTTCTGAGCACCACCCTGGCATGGGCTCTGGTGCAGGTTCAGCTCCTGCTTGTCCCCCTGACACCACGGAGGCCAGGCTTGCTGAAGCAGCAGGAGGGTGGAGAAGAGAGGAGAGGTGTCAACACGGCTCTCCCAGGAAGGGGGTTTCTCAAAAACCGCCCTTCCCTCCCTCTGGAAGCTCCCCTCCGCCTCCCCGGCCACCAGCGCCCTGTTTCAAAGGCAACCCGTCCTCCGAGGCCGGGGCTCTGAGCTCTTGCACGCTGCGGGGGAGTGACAGTACAAGCTCGCGCGCCAGTCCTGCTGAAAGTCAGATTAAACGCGGCGGAGACAGAGCTCGTTTATCTTCTCCCCCTCTCTCCCATCTGCTCCACTTCCTCTTGCTCGCGGCCGAAGGGGGAGCCTGCTGAAATCCTGGAAGAGAAAGTCTTGCCCCCTGGGTTCCATGTCACACAGCTAGTCATTTGTCAAATGCTGCTCCTTTCTATAAAAACGCTCCCCGCAGCTGGCTTTCCCGGCCCGCCGCCAGTACGGGAAGCTCTGTCCCAACTCACGAGGCCTTCTGACCCGAGGGTCCTGGTATGTTCACTGCATTCATTCACGCACTCATTCATACGTTCCCCAGACAAGTATCGGCTGTTGGGCGCCAGCCTGCGCTGGTGCTCCAGACTCCGTTTGGAGACTCCAAAACCGAGGAGACACGATTTCGATTTCGGCATTCTGCCTTGCTTGTGGCCTCGTCGGAGACACTTGAAAACAAATGATCACAATGCAGTGCAACTTGCTTTGCACTAAATGCAACATTAAAGGATATGAAAGTTCTCACAGGGAATCCGGGCTATGAAGGAGAAGTAAAAGTTGGCTGGACACGGGGTGGGCTGGGGCACCCTGGACACAGGGGCCATGGAAGAGAGCAGAGCACGACCGTGGAGGGGCGTCGGCTGGGAAATTGGGTACAGCACACTGGGACCTGGGGACAGGAGGGGGGGCGGGATGCAGAATCTGGAACGCAACTCTGCAGTGATGAGAGACGAGGGTGGTTCTTAGCCAGCTGAGCCATGTGGCCGTCCCGGCTTTGCTGTGAGATCGCGACACAGGCGAAGGGCGGAAAGGGGAGGGCGGGCGTCCAACGGCCAGGAGCAAGGTCCCAAAGGCGGTGGTGGTGGAGGAGGTGCCACCAGGCACTCGAGCAGCTGCCCCTCCTGCCCCGGCCCCTCTGCTCAAGAGCGGGTGCCCCCTTCCACGGGGCGACTCCGTGTTCTCTGACGTCATCTCCACGCACTGCCTGTGACAAGCCGAACGTTTTGTCCCACGGAAAGGAGAATTCGGTTCTGCTCAAAAGTGGAGCGATGAGCGGGCCACCCTGGCGGTGTTGTGAGGGGCCCCTGTGCTTCCCTCCCCTGTGTGCCCCCGACCACAGTGTCGTGCGGTGTGGGTAGGAAGGAGGAGCCCCCTGAACAAGTGGGTGGGTACGTATATCCGTTTCCAGTGGCTGCTCTAATAAGCTGGGTGGCTTAAAACAACAGAAATGTGTTTTCTCATGGTTCTGGAAGCCAGAATTCTGAAGTCAAGGTGTCCGCGGGGCCCTGCTCCATCCGAAGGCACTAGGGGAGGATCCTTTCTTGCCCCTTCCCGCTCCCGGTGGTCGCCAGCAATCCTGATGGATGCCTCACGCCCCTCTTACCTCTGTCACCAGGTGGCCTTCCTCCTGGGCCCACACTTCCCTCTCCTCCTAAGAACCCCGGTCACTGGGGGCAGGTCTACTCTCCTCCAGGATGACCTCATCTTAATTCGGTTTTACCTGCAACCTCAGCTTCCAAATCAGACCACCTTCATGGGGACCAGGGACCAGGACTTGGATACATCTTTTCGGAAAGGGACTGTTCAGCCCACAACAAAGGGTGTGGCGTGTGCTGTGCCTCTGTCTCTGCCAGGCTGAGCCTTCTCTGGAAGGGCGTATTCCACACAGGGCAGCCCCGAACCCCCAGGTAATTGTGTCACATGACAGCAGTTCTTTTGAACAAATCAGACTCGTCCGTGTTTTCAAATCCTGGGGGGACCGTTGGGTGCGGACTCTGTTCCAGGACGTGGAGCTACAGAGGTGGCCCAGCCAGACCCGGGCTCTGACCTCGGCAGAGACAGTCTGTTGGACTGTGTTTTCAACTTGACGAAAATGTAACAAATTCCGTTGGCGGTGACATGACCCAAAAGTTTTTAATAGGAAAGAAAATGAATCATTCTTTTGTTTAGAGTTAAACTAAGACTCATAATTGGGAGAATGTTATTTCACAGAGTTATGCCTTATTTATGAGGGCTTCTGGGCAAAAACAAACAGGCAAAAATGAAACAAAAGTCAATATGGAGCACACAGTGGGGAGGCCAGGGCGGCCTGGGGCCTGGGGTGGGGGCGGGGCTGGAGGAAGGGCCCCGGGAAGTGAGCTGCGTGGGGCTCTTCTCCGAGGACCAGATTCCAGGGGGTCCTGTGTGGCCTCACTGTGGACCAGGCCAGACCGAGCCCTCCCGCCTCCCCTCAGTGGCCACTGGAGCCACCACAATGGCGCTCACTAAGAGCTTGTCCTGGCCTGGTGCGTGTGCTCGGTGGCTCCAGCAATGAACGCCCTGGCAGGGACCTGGCATTCCGTAAATTAACCCTCAAACTGCTGTGGATTCGTCCTTGAGCCTTCCTTCCTGCTGGCTGCAGAGCTCTTACAGGGGCAGGACCTCATAATGAGAAAGAAATGTTTGCAAACCATATATCAGAGGAGGGACTTGGATACAGAACACAGGAAGAATGGTTACAAGTCAGTAATAAAAAGACAGACATTCAAGTAAAAAAACAGACAAGGGACTGGAGTAGACGGTTCCCCAGCAAGGACAGACAAATGGCCGGTAGACAGACACATGGAAAGATGCTCCAGGTCATCCATCGTTAGGGAGATGCAAGCGAGAGCCACGAGGAGATAGCGCACCACAGCCGGCAGGACGGCTGTCATCTGGAAGCACGGCGGGTGCTGGCGAGGGTGTGGAGAGACAGAGCCTGCTGGCAAACACCCAGAATGCTGCGGCCAGTTTGGCAAACGGCCTCACGGCTCCCCAGAAGCGTAACACAGAGTTCCCACAAGAGGCAGTCGTCCCACCCCAGGTGTACTCCCAGGAGAAATGAAAATGCGCCTCCAAAAAAGCTCACGCCAATGTTCAGAGCGGCAGCGCTCATAAGACCCCAAAAAACCGGGGTGGAACAAATGTCCATTGCGTAATGAGTACACAGTAAAGTGTGGTGGGTCTGTACCATGGAATGTTATTTGGGGGTGAAAAGAACACTGAGTCATGCTAAGACCTCAAAAACATCGTGCTGAGTGGAAGAAGCCAGCCGCAGAAGACAACATATCGCACCAGTGCATTTCTGTGGACTGTCCGAACAGGCACATCTGCGGAGGCAGAGCGGAGTGTGGTGGGTGCCCAGAGTGTAGTGGGAAGGACTATGGAGTGGCCGCCAATGGGCTAATGGGCATGGGGTTTCTTCTGGGAGGGGGATAAAACTGTTCTAAAATTATTGTAATAATAGTTGCACAATTCTATGGACATACCGAAGCTATTGAATTGTGGGCTTTAACTGGGAGAACTGCGTGGTATATGAATTAAGTCTCCATAAAGCTGTGACACATTTAAAAAGCAAATATGCTCAGTATATTTAAAATCTAATTTCCTCATTCCTCCCTCCTCCCTCCTCCCTCCCTCCCTCCCGTCCTCCCTCCCTTTTTTCCTTCCTTTCTTTCTTTCTGTCAAATGTGTAAGCCTAAGATGGAACATGTCTAGTTCATGGAATGAAGTACAGTTATCAATTAGGTGATAAGAAAAGGTAGCCAGCCAAACAAGAAATGTTTATTTAATTTGAGGAACTTACTACAAAGAGAGAGAGTATCTGAGGTGTAAGCCAAGTCTTCTTAGTGACATTTATTCTTTTTTTTATTCAACACATATTTACGGGACGTTTATGACCCATTGGAGGCACTACTGGACACGGTGCTGTTTTGTGACTTCACCATGACATGGACGTGCACTAGCTTCGCGTGTGCCTGAGACCAGGTTTCCCACGTTTATAAGCAGTCTGCCACGGCAGCGCCCTCCCGTCCTTCTCTCGAGTGGTCTGTGCGTGCTGGCTTTGGTCTTTTGCAAATTGCTTACAAAGAGTAAACACACAGTCACATCGGGAAATTCCCTGATATTTACAGAAATGCAAAACACTTTGTTAGAAAATTCGTAAAATAGCTGTGTGTCTTGAACAACGAGTTTGTCCGATAGCACCGCTGGGAATCTTAGACCCACGAGAGCCAGGTGTGGAGAAGCCCAGGGAGCTTCCTGGCTCCTCTCCACCCCTGGGGTGCACAGATCTGCTTTGGTTTGAGGGGGGCCGGGGGCCGGACCCCACTGGGGTCAGCAGCCTCAGCCAGCCCCAGGAGACACTGGTGGGGTATGGAGTTACTGGCAGGAGATTCGGCTCTACCAGGCTCAATTCAGAACCCATTTCTGCTCAGAGAGCATCCAAACCTTCCATTGGTGTGACTTAAAAATGTTTCCCCACATGGATCCTCTCAACTTGCATCTCTGAAGGTGGGTCAGAGGATGCTTATCATCCCAGAACATTTACGGACTGGTATCTGGGACGGACTGGTGTCTGGGACTGAACTCAGATCTGATAGGGATTTCCAAGACCCCTTTAAGATGAAAGAGAGTTAGTAATGCGGCGGGGGGGGCGGAGACAACTGTAATTGAACAACAATAAAAAACTTCTTTAAAAAAAAAAAAAGCAAAGAGAGTTGGAGCTCTATCATTCAGGACCCTTCGGGCGAGAAAGAATTCCCCAGCCTGTGCTCATTCATGCTGACGTCATCAGAACGTAACTGGGTGGGGTCTAGAGTTGATGCAGAGAGGCAGGGAAGGGGGCTGTTCTCTCCTCTTCAGTTTTGGGGTCATTCCTTTCACTGGTCTTCGGTGTTCGCAGGTCAGCCCCACTGAGGTCCTTCCGGAAGGAGCGATGGGGCAGTAAAACAGTCCAGGAGAGAAGGTGTCTACAGGCATTCCATGCAGATTTTTACTCCGGTAGAACAACACCATGTAAAGAAACTAGAATTTTCCTGGGGGAAATAGTGTCACTTTAAAACAAAAATCAAAGGAGAAAAAAAAAACTTCAGCCAAAGAAGTAAGCCACTAAACTGTATGCATTATTTTAGGCAAATTCTTTTTCTCCATTTAAAGGCTGGATTTTCTTCATGAGTCACCAATAGTCACGGTTCCAGAGGTATCTTAGACTCATTTGTTGATTCAAGAGTATCTGTGGAGCCCCTGCACTTTGTCAGACGCCTGCCTGGAATGTTATTACGCAACTTGAAGATGCTAAGGACGCGTGAGGGCAGAACGGAGCGGGAGGGACAAAGGCGAGGCTGTGTCCCCGGCCACACTCCTCTTCACTTGGGTGACCCGCTTCTCAGTGAGTCACTCGGCTCTCTCTCAGGGACCCGTCCCTCGCCAGGGAGGGAGGCGGGCTCCGTGTATTCCTCAGAGCGCCATCCTTTAAGGAGAAAGGGGCCTTGGAATAACAGGTGCGCGTTTCAGCCCCCACGGCCAGTGTCCAGAGCATGCATGTGCTTCCAGCCAGATAACAGAGGCCGGTTTGCTTTCTTTCCCGTGGATCCGATGCTGCGGTTCAAAACCATGTGACATAAGCCCTTGGAAACCTTTTGTGAAGATAAACTCGGTGTGGGTAAGCCATGACCCTTTGCTCCCGTGATCCAAGGCGCGGGGGTGGCTCCCAGCCTTCTTGAGTCGGGGCTGGGCGTCGGTGCCCATTTCTCAGGGCAAACGCCCTCTTAGGGCTTCTCCGTCGCGGGGAGACCAGAGGTATTCCGTTCCTCACAAAACGTCTCACTGGCAGCTCTGCCTCCTTCAGTGCAAAGTTATTTTTAATGCAGCAACGTGTGTGCATGACTCCGATCACTTCGAGATGCAGTTATCCCACTTTTCACAAGGTCTCCTGCACCCGACTCAGACGACTGAGCTGGAAACGCTCCAGCCAGGCTGAGAGGCTCATCTCAGGGTTCCTGCAGAACGTCACTCTTCGGGGGTGGTACTTTGGCCACCCTGCTCCCTAATCAAATGGGCCGTGGGTTAGTGCTGGGGGTCTGGCTCCGTCACGTTCTCTCCGGCTCCCCTCCTTTTCCCTGGAATTCTGGGTCACTCGGGGGCCCACTTCGCCCCGTTGCCGTTTAACAAGCAACATTCCGGGTCGCTGGGGCCTGAAACTCAGGCTTCACGCATCACCATTCCCAGCAGGGAGCTGAGGTCTCTGCAACACGTGCACCCGCGCTCTGCCCGACCTCCCCGTCTATGGTGTGCGTCCAGTGTGGCTGTTGTTGTCTACGGCGTGTGTGACGACAGAGCCGTGGTGTCCGAGGAAACCTCCGCACGGGAAGGCAGGCAGGGGGGCAGGCAGGCAGGCAGGCAGGCCGGCCAGCTGGCGGCACCCCGCGGATTCCTCCGCACCACCACGCAGGGCCCGCTCTGGGCGGGGCTTCAGCTGCGCCGTGCGAAGTCCCACCGGAGCCGGGTCTACGGTAAGCGTTCCTGCTCCTCGAGGCCAGTGGGACATGTTTGGTGCATCCCCACTTTGGGAGGGGACGCATGCCCGTCACCCACCTCATTCTGAGTTCTCTAATCCTTAGTGATTTTTGATGGATGGGTCACCCAAGCTGAGATACACCCTTTGCGGGACTTTGAATGGGATGGAGAAACTGCACGAGCTGGGTTGCAAACCGACAGCAGCCAGGGCTGCCACGGGGAAGCCTTTTGTTCGGGAAGGAAGGCACACAATGCAGGACGGTGGCCCTGGGCCCGGAGGGCGGCTGCTGGGTGTGGCCAGGGCCCAGCCAGGCAGGGCGGGGCCCAGGGCGCTCACGCAGTGTCCACTTAAAGGCCGCTTGCTCCCAGGCGGGCCTCCGCTCAGACAGTTAGTTCATCTGAGCTACTACACGTGAAAAAAAAAAGGAGAAAAACGACATACCCTTGAACAGATGCAGTGCGAGATGTTCCTTATCTTCAGAAAAAAAAAACTAAGTTTGGATATTTTGGTAAGGAGTAGGGACTTTTGTAGAGAGAATCCTCCAAGAATAATATATTCACAATTTGTGTGGCCTGGACTGTGTTACTGAAGCTATCACTCAGATAGGAAATGAAAACCTTCCCACGGTGGAGGTGGAGGCCCCCGCAGCCGAGCGTTTGGGGCGGAAAGGAGCTGCTACTGGAACAGCAGGAGGAGCGCCACGGCCAGTGTGAGCCCGCCGGGCGGGGCCGACGGGGCCGGGCCGGCCTGGCCGGTCAGCATGCACATCACCCTGGACCAGGACCCGTTGTTGGGCAAGGGGGTGATGCCCGCCACGCGGCACATGACATTGTAGACGTCCACGGACCGGATCGGAGCAGCTCTGAAGTTGGACTTGAAATCTGAAAGGGAAAGGCAGGCAAGGGAGTTATCATAGCCACTCACCGGGCAGAGCGGGGCTGAGCCCCGCGGGGGGCTGGGGGGGCCTGCACCCCCAGGCTGCAGGTGGCTTTGGGACCGGGAGATCAGCTCTGGCGATGGGGCGTGGCCGGCCGGGTGATTGTGCACTCGGAAGAGTACGTGGAAGGCCACAGGTTGTGAAAGGGAGTAACTTCCCGTGGCTCGTGGAGATGAGCCCCATCAGCGAACAGACTGGCCTTGCCCCTCGCTTCTGCAGAGCTTGGAGCCCAGGTGCAGTCACAGTTTACCTCTGACTGGGCTCTCCGAAGCCCAGTTCAAGGGCATTCTCATCTTTCAGAACACCTTTCAGCAGGGGCTGGCTGGCTGGCTGCGTGCCAATTTCGATTGCAGAGACCCCACCACAACTCAAGAATGTTTCTGCATTTTCCTGCTATGTGGAGAGCTCAGGGCTGGACAGATAGATGTAGGACTGGACGGTCTCCCCAGAGCTGGCCGGCTCAAAGCAATGGTGACACCTTCCTGAGTGCTCCTGGGAGATCATTTGAACCTGCTGTAGGAGCCTTTCACTGGCAGACAAAGTAACTTGGCTGTGTCGGGGAAAAAGCGAATTGGCAGAGTTACAGGGCCAGGAAGGCTCTGGGAGATCTGATGCGGAAGCATTCTGCTTCCAGAAACCCAGAGGCTGCAGCCAACGCCAGCAGTGACGTGGGAGGTGAAGGCAGGGCTGGCCACTCACAGCATCGGAAGTCAGGGCGCCGGAGGAGGGATGTTCGTCAGGAGCGCACCCGCTCCCCCACCACGGGAGGCAGTGAGATGCTGACTGCAGAGTGCCTGTCTGCTGCACAGTCACCAGAAGAGTTTGGTGATCATGTCCATAAGCAGTTTTCCTTTTAGGCCCCAGACTAGGCCTTCCCACAGAACACCCGAACTACTCTGAGGTTGAATTGGGTTGAGAAGGGAGATTCTGTCTATATATCTATCAGTAAAGCCCGTGGATGAGCTTTCAGTCCATCTAAGAGTTTTTAAGGACATGGGTGGTTTGGGGGCTGTGACCTTTGTCATGGCTTTGCCAAAATGGTCGCATAGGCTTTATTTAAAAAGCAAACAGACTCCACAGCAATGCCATCCAGAAGGGCCAGCACCACACTCTGCTCTGGTGCCAGCCCCGAAAGCACAAGGTTGGAAGGAAGTCACACGCAGAGAACTCGGCCGCAGGGCACAGCAGAGCCAGGGCAGGTGATGGCTCTTGCTCACTCTGGAGATTTAAAACGGAATTCAGAGCAACGAGGGTCATGGTGTGCAATCAGCCTGCAAACCTTACCAGCTGGGCCACCTTAGGAGACAGACAGGGACATGGCACCCAGAAACCATAGCTGCAGTCATGTTGTATGTGCTCAGAAATGGTAGCTAGCATTCTTCTAGTATTGTGAGCAGGCACGTAGAATGAATGCCCAGCAAAAGCAAGTGGTGGTTGAGAAATCCCCCATAAACTCTCAGGAGAGTTCATTTTACTCTAGGGGCAGGGAGGATAAGGGTTGGCATCACCTCAGGGTAAAATTTGTTTTTTAAAAAAAAATCCAGAGCCTCCTAGGACAGGAGGATGTAAGGGCCACCCCAGGGGGTCACCCCCTCTTCACAGCAAGGCAAATGGCACGCTTGGGCAAAGATGGTGGTTGTCCTTCCCCAGAGGTGAGCCAGCTGCAGCCTGAGGGATCAATGGAAAGGTTGCCCTGGTGACAGGAAAGCAAGTCCCCTCCGTCCTTCCGACCCGCCATGAACTTGGATGTGGTCGTCCTGCTGCCCCATCACATGGTGACATGGTGGTCCTGTCCTTGTCGGGCGTGTGGTGGGGGGGAGTGTGGGAGGTAGACAGTAGTAAACCCAAGATACCCTTCCCCAGCCTTCCAAACACTCCTTCTTTAACGCTTGGCAGAAGTGTTGAGATAAACTCTGCAGAAGACCATCTTGTCACGTTCAAAGAGCAAAATCAAATCCTGTGCACGTCCGCAGGAAGCGGAGTTGAGTTTTCTTTCCCATCCGCCTGGCTCGTGGCTTCTGATTCCGCAGAGCTGGGACGTTGGGCCCAGGGCAGACGTGATCCAGGCTGGAATGGGAGCTTCTAGAAAACTCCTGAATAGCAGAACAATGCCTGATCTGGTCTGGGAGGACTCCGCCAAACTCTCCCCAGCTCCAAATGGCATTTGGAACCTGTACTGGGAATCCAAGTTATTCCCATGGGTTTAAATTTTGCAGATGTTAAGACCGTTTCTCTTAAAGCGTGAAGGTTCTGTAGCCTCCTGCGCTGCTGGCCGAGTGAGGCTCACTGGCCCACACGCAGCTCACCCGGCCACGCTCCTGCTGTCTCTTTGGGAGTGTGGAGTTCTCCGGGGCAGGATTAGGTTGTTCATGTTAGAAACCGGGATTAACCAGAGAGAGGCTGCCTTCCAGAATCGGTGCCCTTTCCCTTGGCCGAGCCAGACTCACTGACTCCTAAGACTGTCTGCGTGCAGCCGCAGCGCTGCCCAGCTTCCTCCCCCTGCAAGAGGCATGTACAGTTAACTGGGAGGGATGCACCTTTATCCCCGAGTGCGGCTCGAGATCACTATGAACAGCCTTGCTCTTAAATGTCCTTCTGAGTAAACAGCCAGTGTGGGAAGCACTTCGATCCTCCGTGAGGACCGGAGCCAGGAACGTGACGTTTGGCGGGAGGCTCCCAAGGCTCAGTCTGCCTGGAAACACTTTTGCAATGAGCCCCGTCCGTTTTCATCAGGGGTCGCCTTGCTGTCTGTAAAGGACTCAGACTTCGAGTTTTAAAGGAGCCCACGACGGAGGCCCTGGCTAATGGACAACGTCTCCCCGCCGAGGTGAACTCAGAGTTGACGCAGCTTGGGGAATTCGGTTTGAAATTATTGGGGGTTTGCTTCTGCTTTCAAGAATAGGGCCCGAGACACTAGCTCATAAACACTCCTTCGGCTGACAACTGTTTTGCATTCACGATCTTTTTTTCTCTCCGGGGAAGCAGAAGGTGATGCTTTTGAACGGGAGCCCAGCCGTCTGGTGCTCCCCCGTACAAAGGCCGTGGCCCTGGAGTGTCTCCAAGCTAATCTAGCGGGTCGACCTCCACCAAGTCCTCGGGGCGTCATCACTCACCCACTCCGCCCGGAGCTCCGCCGAGCTGACGGGCTGGCTGACGGGCAGCACCTGACAGCTGTTACTGATTGACAGCGACGTGCTGGACGCCCTCTGCACTGCCCCCTCCAGCCAAGTCCTGAACCCAGCCAGGGCTCTGGGAATGTTTGCTGCTACTGTTGTCTGCGGCTTCCTTTGGGACTGGGAACTTGAACCACAAGCGGGAAAGGATTTGGACCGCTGTGTTTCCTACGCTCAGGGTCCCAGAGGCTCCCGTGGAGGGTGCAGAAACGGACACCTCATAGTTCTCAGCGGCTATTTTGTCATAAGTAGCGTGACCCAAGGCAGGTGGGTTAATGTATATCTTTGTCTTGTTCCATCGAGAAGAAGGGCAAGGCTTCTAGGTCCAATGTTGAACTTAGCATTTGGAAGGAAAGCGGGGATTTCATGGGCTGAAGCGTTTTGATGACATCCAGGGAAAGGCTTTGGAGCATGGGTGTCAGGGCCAGCTCATGACATGCAACCAGGAGGGCAGACAGTAGTGAGCAAGAAGAGTGGCTCATGGACCCGTCAACTGATGGGTAATGGCTGTCAAATTGCTTTTGACTAATTTTTTTTTGTAAGAAGAGGGTGTTCAGGCAGTAGTATGATCTTCAGAGTGTTTGATAAACTTTTCCAAAACGTGAATGTTTAGCTCTCTAAATGATTAAAGCAAATGCCCACATAGGCCTCCTTCGTCCCCTGCTCCCTTCCAGCCCTAGGGATTCACCCGGCCAGAGAAGTCAATTTGCTTTCATCCGAGGCACCCCTCGTCATTCTGGCTGATTCTCAGAGTCCGTCTCCAGGTCATCTCCTAGCCGCCTCTGGGCACATCCCGGCTTCTGGTCAGGCCCTGGACCCAACGGCCCCACGGGGCGGGTGCTCTGCACAGGGAGGAACTGTGTGTGGGAGGGGCAGACCTTGGGATGCCACCCCGTCCACACTGGACCTGGGGCTGTCAGCAGCCCGGTGTCCGGTCAGCTCTCCCGGACCTCCGATGGCCGTGAAACCCCATTTCCAGGAATTAAGTAAAAGATGAATCACAAACATGTGGAATACATTTTCTTCGCTGCACTCAAGATTTCACATTTACAAGGAAAACTATTTGGCCACATGTGCCAAACCCAGGAAGCATCTGAAAGCGAGCCAGCGCCAGACGTCTCCCGGAGACCGGCTGGGCCAGCTCGGCGCTGCGTGGGGAGAAAGCGGCCGGCTTTCCCCACACACGCTGGGCCCCCGGGGGCCCCTGGGAGTGGGTGGCCAGGGGACTTCCGCCCTTCCCTCACCTACCAGGTCCGAAGGCCAGGAAGATGCCACGCATGTCCCGGAGCTCGTTGTCGTAGCCGTGCCAGCCGCGCTGCCAGCCACCCCGCTGGCCCGTGCTGTTCATCCAGAACGGGAGCAGCTCCCGGCTCTGCAACCAAGCAAGGCGGTTACGTCGTGCCGCGTCCTGACAACTGTCATCAGGGAGCAGTGGTCCCAACCACCTCCCAGCGTGGGGACGACGCCCTTCTCTCTTAGCCCTGGGGTCCTCGTTTCCTACTCCAGGGAGCTCAGACTCCTCCAGGCAGCCCATCCCGCCGCCAGGGAGCTCTGGTTAGGAAGGCGTTTTCTTACTCGGAGTTGCATGGCACCTGTGCCTCCCAGTGGGCTTTAGAACCACTAAATACAGCAGGCTCGAGACAGACTGATGGTCAAGTGTTTCTGTGGCGTCATGGAAAATGTGTTTGGCCTTTGTCCCAGGTTCCTGGCACGGACTCCCCACACCCGTGGAATGTCCTGGGTGACAGGAGTGCCTTTGTTATTCGTAAGGGGCCTTCTCCCCCACACCTGGGCTTATGCTAATTGGATGATTTGGGGGGCGCCTGAGGGAGGGGCTGGATAGCTTTAGGAAGGAGGCTGGTCCCTCTTAGGGGGTGAGAGGGGCAGAACTTTCGGCCTGTCTTCTGACCCCTGACCTCTAAGAATGAGCTCAGCCATGTGGCCAGTGGTTGAATCACCCCAGCCTGCACAAGGAAACCCCATGTCAAACCCAGGAACCACACCGCCAGGGAGTCTCGGGACGGATGGACACAGCTGTGTGCCGGGGTGGGGTGGGGCTTACCCGAAAGGAACGGGACACTCTGCGCCCCCCCCACCCCCATGTGTCTCTTCCCTGTGGCCGTACCTCAGTCGTAGCCTTTACAACGAAACGGTCATCATAAGCACAGCACCTCTCTGAGTTCCGAGATGCAGTGAACCTGCAGAGGGTGGTGAGACCCTCCAATTGTAGCCACGACAGATGCAAGTGTGGGGAGGCTGGGGACCCGCACCGTGGCTGTCGTGTGAAGGGGTGCACTCTTGTGGGACTGAGCCCCTGAACACACGGCGGGTGGGGGGGCATGCTGCTCTAACTCGGGGCAGTCAGTGTCATCACTGAACTGTCCTGCAGGACACCCGAGCACTGTCAGAATTACTGGGAAAGCAGCATCTAATGTCATCATCTCGTGTTGCTGGCAGAGCCCCTGAAGCCCAGAGGCAGCCCACCCTGCCCACGGGGTGCTCCTTCCCCCATCCGTGCCCCCCGTCGTTCCTTCTCTGGCCCCCCACTCCCACCCCACAGCCCCTCGGAACACGTCTGCCCCCCTCCCACGTGGTCAGACGTTTGAAGATGACACACAGGTTCCTCTCATCCAGGTCCTGTAGTTCCACACCCCCAGGGGAGGTGTCCTTCGTCTGGGGGGACCCAGGACCATCACTCCCCCGGCGCCCTTCCTCCCTTCCGAACTCTCTGCTCTTAGACTGTAGCTGCTTACTCGGGGGACAGAAGGCTGAAGGGTGAGTCCTGAGGAGGCTGTGGCCAGGCGGACACACCGAGCCCTTCGTGGCAAGCTGAGCATTCCCTCCTGCCGGTCCGGGCGTCCCCTCACTAAGCGGGTGTGATGTCACAGACAGTGCAGACTCGGGTGGTGGAACAGCTGGTTGTGATGAATGAGCAGAAGCAAAACAGCAAGTACCGGCCGGCCGCAGGTCGGCTCACGGACCTGTAACAGTCCACGTGGTCGGTGGGCTGCACGGCTCACCAAGAGCTGACCCTGACATTCACCTGATGGGCACAGCGTGCCTCCTCTGCAGTTGAAGAAACCAAGGCACAGAGAGGTGGTCTGGGACTCAGAGTCACACGGCTGCTGAGCGGCAGGTCTGGGACCGACACCCAGGTCACCTGTCTCCCTGTCCTTACGCACCTTTCACTAACCAAAGCCAGAGGTCGCCGCAGTGCTCCTGTGGATAGTGGACAGTGAGGACCCCCCCCCCCCCCGCCCCGGTCCCTTGCCTCTCCACTCCCTGGCTGGTGGCTGGTTATAAAGTGCAGCGAAGAAGTTTTGGAACCAGATCGGCGCGGGGTGAAACTCGAGCTCGCCGCTCTCTGGCTCTGCGACCCGGGGCAAGCCACTTCGCCCCTCCGAGCTTCCGCTGCCCTGCGGAGGGTGAGGACGCCCGCCCCACCGGGACTTCCGGGCGTGGCACGGCTGCACGCTCAGTGCCTGACACACGAGAGGTGCTCGCTGAACGGCCGCGGATGGCCACCAGACGCCCGGGCCGGGCCGTGGGGCGGGCGCTCTGGCCCCGTGCGGCCGGGCGGGGGTGGCCGCGAGGGCTGCGCTCGCCTCTGCTGGTGCAGCTGTCACATGGCATCGCACGCCCGTCCGGCCTCAGCCCATAAATCGCTCCCTGGCGTGACTGCTGGCCAGGTCGCACAGTTTCACCGACTCCCCGTTTCCTGCATTTCCACCCTCCCGCGTGCGCCCCTCCTCCTCCAGCTGGAGCTCCTGCTTTTCCATGGGAATGTTTCTGTTAACTCATCGCATTTCTGACTGGTTGTGCGCTTTTCACTCTTTATCTGTCGGAGGATCTCAACGCGCCCGACCCCGCTTCGGCGGCTAATGTGCTGGGAGGCTGCCCATGTCCCAGCCACGCGGTGGCCATTCCTGGAGCTCTGGGTGGGACGTGTTGCTCCTGACGACCTCACCAATGATGAGCCCCACAGGACGTGTGTGCCCCACCCCAGAGGGACAGGGGACAGGGAGGCAAAGACCAAGTACCTGGTTAAAAAATTCCAGTCTAGCCTGGCTGGCGTAGCTCAGTGGATTGAGTGTGGGCTGAGAACCAAAGTGTCGCAGGTTCGATTCCCAGTCAGGGCACATGCCTGGGTTGCAGGCCACGGCCCCCAGCAACCGCACATTGATGTTTCTCTCTCCCTTCCCTCTCTAAAAATAAATAAATAAAACCTTAAAAAAAATTCTACTCTAGATTCCACAGGGGCCGGCAGAAGTCACGCCTGCTTGAGTGTGGTTGGTGGGGCAATAACATGGGTGTGATCATGTATAGTTGTAATGTGAACACTTCATCTAAAATGCCACATGGTGTGCTTGAGTGTGATATTGTTATGTTACAGAAGTACATGCTTATGATTTTGTAACAACCAGGGGCGTTATTTGTGCCGGACCCTGTACAAGCAATGAACATCTCAGCCCTAACGGTGACAGGGGAGCAGTCTGGTGACAGGGAAAACCACTAGTTTTTATGAAAGTGGCAAGCGGCTTCAGTGAAACAACTGTTCTTACTGGTTTTCAAAAGTAAGAATAAACCGGCTGCTCGTGGGAGAGGCTAACCCTTTCGTCTAGGTGGCTGCACTGAATGCTTTGCGTGCAGGGCCCCAGTTTCACCATGGTGCATCGCACGATTGTTCCTCTCCTTCCTGCGGGCGCCCGTCACCACCGTCACGCTGTACCCACACCCCCCTCCCGCGTGCTTGCATGTGAGGTGGCACTGATGAGGTGTGCGTGTGCGTCTGCATGTGTGTCTGTGTGTGTGCGCGTGTGCGTGTGCGTCACAGACCAGCCTCCGGAGCAGGAGTCCCCTGCCGCCAGAGGCAGCCAATCCGACCCACCAGGTCCAGGGACTGCCCCATGGCGCCACCTAGTGACAGCCTAGGGAGGTGCCCAGACCCTCCAGGCTTGGCCCAAAGTGAGCCAGGTGGAGGACTGGGGTGTGTGTGGGGGGAGGGAGGAGGGGGGAACCCCTAAGTCTGGGTCACTGAAAGAGCCAGGCCTGCTGTGGGGTGGGCAGCGAATTCCCAGAAGTTCCAGAAAACACAGTCCTTCTGCCGCATGTTGCGTCCTGTCTGCCAGGGGTGGCTCCCCACTAATAAAAAGGGGGGAATCCACCCTATGAAGGCAGTGAAGACATGGGGTGTCATCGGTGAGAGGGATCCCAGGCAGGGTGGGGTGTCCCTGCCAGCACGTGGGAGAAGGCAGTGGTTTACGAGCCTATTTATTCAACTGAACAGACTCACTGGGCGCAGACTCTGCCGGCCTCTCTGCCGGGGTGCTGGGTGGGGGCACAGGTGAGGGGAGCAGTTCCTTCATCTAAAAGAGCTCACCTTTACTGAGGAGGGAGAGGGGCGACAGCTCCGGGGCAGTTCCTGGCAAGCCAGGACCAGGGTGGGCACCTCTAGCCCGAAGAGGGGAGGTGGGCCCAGGCGCTGAGGAGCCGGCCCTGTGGGGAGAGACACTGTCAGCGGGGGAGGGCTGTGTGAGTGTGAGTGTCTGTGGCCGTGAGTGTGAGTGCGTGCTGTGCAGTGTGTGTGTGGGGGTGAGCATACACAGCTGTGGGGCACTACAGAGGCCGCACAGGGAGATCTTAACCCAACAGTGGGCAGGCGCCGAGGTCCCCCAGCATCAGGACCCTTGGGAACTCTGTCAGTGGGGACAGTCTGGCACCGAGGGGCCCCGAGAGGCCAGGAGACCCCGGGACCTCCCCCGGGGAATGCATCAGAAGAAAGCAGCCACCAGGACCCAGAGTGAGACTGTGGGAAAGAGCGAGAGGAAATGAGAATTGACTGCCCTCGGGTGCTGGCCTACCTGAGGTTACGCCAATCAAATAGGGGGACCGACTGTGCTGAAGTCTGATGAAAAGAGGAAATGTGAACCCCTGTCTCGGTGTGTGAGGGGCCTACTGGATTCTCCCAGGACACGGTTATAACAGGAGCCTCCCAGGCCCCGAAAGGGAGATAAATTTCTGAGTTCCTCTCAGGCTGGAAAGGGCACTCGATAATGTGTGAGTTGGCGAGGAAGCGACAATAATGGGGCCCATTCTCACGTTGCTGCTAGGGTCCGGAGCGAGCTTCGGTTCCTATTACAACTGCCATTGCTCAGACTTTGCAGCCTCTAGCTACTGTAAAGGCTCCTTCCGAGGGGCTTCCTGTCGGCGGGGCCCCACAGAGACCCTGGGGGACGGAGGTCACGAGCCTTGAGGCGTAGGTTTGCCACACGCCACTGCGAAGAGATGTCCCTCCAACAGCCTCCCTCTCCGCCTGGGAAGGGTCCCTCCGGCTAAAGCAGAATTGCGCCGCACAGGCCCCTGGCCCTGCTC